GATTATTTTTTTGGATCTGCTGTAGTCAGTGCATTGACTGGCAAGCTTAGCACCGTAATTAAATCGTAGATATGAAGACCAAGATGGTGTGGTCTTCTGTTTAGTTGCAGTCTCCTTTAGCTGTATAGGGTTGGTTCTACATTGCTTGCGCAACTTGGTCGGAGCGTCAGTAAGCCCTTGTGGAAAGTATCCAGTCCCGTCTGGGAATGTACCAAGTCCACGGTACGACGCTCATGGTCTTCGTGATAATACGACCAAGTTGCGAAACCAAGGTCAAACAACTTCTGTACAACGAAAGAAGACCACAATCATACTAAAGGCCACACAATCTTGGTCTTTATACCTTCGAACAAATACAAAGGGTTGGAGTAGATGTGCCTCATTCAGGGATAAGCCAGTGAAATTTTATAACTCGCTTGCTAAAAATAGTTTTAAGAGTGGAACCAGGCTCTGATGATGGCTGCAAATTGGAATGACGAAAGAAAACTTTAAATAAGAACTTATATACCCTAAGCCGATTAAGTTGGGGTACGAACTAATAATTGATCTTGCCCACAATGAGATAGGTAGACCTCAGAATGACGTTGAATTTCACTTGGCTTTGCATTCCAAAAGGCTGTCCTATCCTGGGTGGAATCCAACTTTGATCTCGCCTGGGCCGCATCAGCCACCCAACAGGATTCGATACCGAATCGTAAGTATCGTGGCGATATTACCACTCCACTACATAACTACAGGCTCCAGTGAGTCATAGGCCAGATGTGACATTCAAGGCAAGTAAGACCTCACTTATATCACATTTCTAATGAGATTGTTGATCAAGGAAATGTGCACTTCCATTGATATTTACGAAGTTACTTATGTTCTATATTGTAGGTTTCAAAGCTATCAGTAATTCTTGAATAAGTCTGAACACAACTCATATTCTTGAATAAAGACATAGTCACTCTAGTGTATATGAAGAAAAAGTGGGTTTCGAAGAATGCCTTAGACCAGTGATTCCCAAACTGTGCGCCGCGGTGCCCCGGAAAGCCGCGGCCTCTTTACAGGGTTGCCGCGAAATATTGTAAAAGCTTCAATTTGAGAAAATGTGTAGTGATTTGCAGGCTCATCCATCACATTAATTATTAAATATTAATTTAATGTTAATAAAGTAAAAAAACTAAGGGGGGATTGCCTTGGAATGAAGATTGTCGAATTGTGTGAAATAATCGCCTAATCTATACTACGAAATAAAAAACGATGCAATAGTAATTAACTTGGGTCGCTCACACTGATTTGGGGACTACTAGTGGAGATTTCAAGAACTACTTACATCAAAAATAAATAATATCACGGATTGAAATAATAAATAAATGTTTGTTTAATCGAAAATCCTATTATAAATGTGATTAAGGTGAGTGGACTTAGGTACCACATTTGCCTTGCGAACCACTGGCAGTGTGGCTGTGTAGAGGAGTGGTAGCGTCGCCGCGATACTGACGATACGATACCGAAACCCCTTGGGGTGCTGACATCTAGGTCGAAATTTCAGTCCATTACATTTGCGATAAGAAATGCTTTTGGGGAGCAAGGCTAAGGGAAATGGGGCCCACTCATCTGATTTAGGGAAAACCCAAACATCAGTTAAATCATCTTAAGCAACCTAAGCTGCAAAAGATCTTATTTAAGAATTATTCATAGTCTCTAAGCCTACTTGTGCAGAAAATTTAGGATGTTTTCTCCGAAGGTGAAGAAGGCTTTATCGAGTGCTGCGTCAACTTCAACGAACCAGTAAAACCAAACGACAGCTGGTCAAAAAGAATCGGCAATCGTCTTTTGACGAAAGTAAACTACTTACCTCTTACTAATACACTTTTACTCTGAATAAAACTGAGGTCAACAAGTTAAGCTTAAGATATTCATCATTTAAAAACTTTTATTCCTATATAGATTCCACTGTGTATCAATTTAAGAGTAGTTAGGACGTAAATCGCTTACTTTTCCGGGTTAATAAAGTCAAGAAACCCCCAGATTGAACGTGAATCTCTAAAG